AATAGGCCGGACGAAACGGGAAGAAGCCGGATTAAGCCGGATTCGGGGCCAGGGCAACGTCCGAATTTGTCTTCCCAGGAGTTACATCCGAACATAAGCACAGACAATTGCGCGGGATCCCCCCACCCTGGCACGCGGAGCGCGCCAGCGGCGGCGCTGGAAGCGCCGCCCGGCAGCTCCAGCGCCGATGCGCGACATCCGCGCGAACGTCCCAAAGTCCGTGTGTCTGTCATGCTGCCTCTTCCGGTCGCGAGCGAGGGGGGGGAGAGGAGAAGGCCCTCTCAAAAGGCGACGGGAGCTCTCAGAAGCCCACGCGCCTTCTGAAAAGTGCTCTGCGTCTTCGGGGAAAGACCAATAAACCTCTCAGAAAGCAGGTGTACTTCCGAGCCTTCTGGTCGGGAGCGGCCAAGAGGGGGCTGTCCAAGAGGGGGGTGCAAATCATGACCGGCGGCACGTGCGCGGCCAAGCGGGGGGGGCCTGGGATGTAATGAAAGAGGAAGAGGCGCCATGAAATCTGAGGAAAAATCATGGCCCTCGCCATGATATCCACCCCCCCCCTAGTCATCAATCACCCCCTTCTTTTCCGCCCCCGATACTCCCGAGCCTTCTGGGGAAGCCCGCCCCTTCTCACTCCCCCCCAGGCTCGCAGCCGATCGTCCCCAGCTCCAGACTGGAGTGGCGTGGGGCGCTCTCAGACCTCCAAGGATCTGAACAGGGAAGCCCCTCTGTCCAACTCCGCCTCGCTGCCCCGCGGAAAAGGAGGCCGATGCCGAGAGGGGGCTGAGGATGTGGACAGGACCAAGATAAGAATAAGGAGGAGGCGGAAGGGAGGCGCTCCGAGCACGGAGGAGGGGCCGAGAGCGACCAGAACCCATGCAGTCTATCGCCCCTCCCCCCCCACGCGAAAGGTTTATTCTCCAGGAAAAAAACTCTCAGGGATCAGGGGTAATTCTCCGGGTCGACCTCTGGATGCTGATCGGATTTCGATGATTTTGGCAGCAGAGTGAATTCTCCGGGTGAGACCCTATCAGGGATCGTCAACATCCTGCCGAACTTCAATTTCTCAAACCTAAATGCGATCCTTTAAGGAGGCGCCAGAGATTTCGCACCAATCTAGCCTCGGCTGCCTCCAGAACGAACTTGTCTGATTAATTATTCTTGATGGGGCGAATCCGTCGGAATCATACCAGCACTAGCAGTAGTAGTGCAAGTAGTAGTAGTAGTAGTAGTAGTAGTAGTAGTAGTAGTAGTAGTAGTAGCAGTAGCAGTAGCAGTGGTAGTAGTGGTAGTAGTGGTAGTAGTGGTAGTAGTGGTAGTAGTGGTAGTAGTGGTAGTGATAGTGGTAGTGGTAGTGCAAGTAGTAGTAGTAGTAGTAGTAGTAGTAGTAGTAGTAGTAGTAGTAGTAGTAGAAGTAGTCGTAGTCGTAATCGTAGCCGTAGTACTAGTAATAGTAGTAGTAGTAGTAGCAGTAGTAGTAGTAGTAGTGGTAGTAGTAGTAGTAGTAGTAATAATAGTAACAGTAGTAGTAGTCGTCGCCGTCGAAGGTTCAATCGTAGTCGCAGTCGTAGTCTCAGCATCAGTTATACGGGCAGTAATAGAAATAATAGAGTAGCAGTAGTAGTAATAGTAGTCATAAATGTGAGGAAGTAGTAGTAGTAGTTGTAGTAGTAGTAGTAGTTGTTGTTGTAATAGTAGTAGTAATAATAATAGCGAAGTGGTCGTAGTCGTAGATGTTGAAGTGTTAGTAATAGTTGTAGTAATAGTAATCGTAATTGTAGTCGTAGTGGTACCAAAAAAATCGTAGTGGTAGTAGTAGTACTAGTAGTAGTCGAAGTAGTAGTAGTAGTAGTAGTAGTAGTAGTAGTCGTAGTAGTAGTAGTAGTAGTAGTAGTAGTAGTAGTAGTGGTAATAGTAGCCGTAGTCGTAGAAGTTATAGTAGTGGTACTAGTAGTAGTAGAAGTAGTAGTAGTAGTAATCGTAGTAGTAGTAGTAGTAGTAGTAGTGGTGGTAGTAGTATTAGTAGTCGTAGCAGTAGTAGTAGTAGTAGTAGTAGTAGTAGTAGTAGTAGTAGTAGTAGTGGTAGTGGTGTAGTGAATGTGGTAGTATTAGTAGTCGTCGTAATCGCAGTAGTAGCAGTAGTATCAGTAGCAGTAGTAGAACGAGTTGTAAGAGTAGTGGTAGTAGAAGTAACAGCAGCCGTTGCAGTAACAACATTAGTCGTAGCAGTCAGCGTAGTGGTGGTGGTCGTGGTCGTGGTAGTGGCCAAAATAATAAGAGTTTTCGTAGTAGTAGTAGTAGTAGTAGTAGTAGTAATAGCAATCGCAGTAGTAGTAACCGTAGTAGTGGTAACCGTAGTAGTAGTAGTAGTCGTAGTAGTAGTAGTAGTAGTAGTAGTAGTAGTAGTGGTCGTAGTAGTCGTAGTAGCAGCAGTAGTCGAAATAGTAACAGCCGTAGTAATAGTAGTAGTAGTAGTAGTAGTAGTAGTAGTAGTAGTAGTAGTAGTAGTAGCTGTAGTAGTAGTAGCAGCAGCAGCAGTAGTAGTAGTAGTACTTATAGGGGTCATAGTAGTAATCGAAATAGTAGTAGTAGTAGTAGTAGTAGTAGTAGTAGTAGTAGTAGTAACAGTAGTAGTAGTAGTAGTAGTAGTAGTAGTAGTAGTAGTAGCCGTCGTAGTAGTAGTAGTAGTAGTAGTAGAAGAAGTAGAAGTAGAAGTAGTAGCAGTAGTAGTCGTAGTAATAGTAGTCGTCGTAGTAATAGTAAATATAGTAGTCGGTCGTCCCAGCTCCTTGGGTAAGAGCAGATGTTTAACACGTTCGCCTTATCGGCCCTAACAGCGCCCACGAGGCCTAACAGATCGCCCCTAGACAGGGCGAGATGCCCCCCAAATGGCCCCAAGATGGCCCCCAAACGGCCCGACTGGCGCCCAAGAGTGCCCGAGGACTCCCGACCACGAGGTTTGGGGTTTGGGGTTTGGTGTTTGGTGTTTGGGATTTGGTGTTTCGGGTTCGGTGTTTGGTGTTTGGTGTTTGGTGTTTGGTGTTTGGGGTTTGGTGTTCGCTGTTTGCTGTTCGCTGTTTGCTGTTCGGTGTTTAAAGTTTGGTGTTTGGTGTTTGATGCTTGTGGTTTGGTGTCTGGTATTTGGGGTTTGGGATTGTCTGGGGTTTGTTTGGGGGTCGTTGTTTGGGGTATTGTTTGGGGGAGGTAGAAAACATGTAAAAATCTCACCTGGAGACCCAACCGACCCGGCAGATGTGCCACTTTCACACGGAGAACTGACCCTTTTCCCGGAGACCTAACTCTTTTCCCGGAGCACTCCCCCCCCCCCTCGCACCCTCCGTGTCTCCTACATTTCGTTTCCTCGTACCTGCGTCTCCCTTCGAATTCGGCCTCGAAGGCCTTTCAATCATCATGCCCTGGGGCCATCCTATCGAGAACTGATCAGGGGCGGAAAACTTCACCCTGGAGAAGGGGTCGGAACCTTTGGGGCCGCGCACTGAAAAAAACGACGTCGTCGGATGTATAGGTCCTGCTGCTGCTCCCGATGAGACGCGGGCGGGATGAGGACGAACCAGTATGGAGCCTGAACCTGGGCCCATCTTATCCTCATCCTCATCCTCCGCCTCATTCCTAATCCTCTCCCTCATCCCCATCCCAATCCCCACTCCCTCACTCATCCTCCCAATCCTCACTCCCTATCCTCATCCCAATCCCCACTCCCTATCCCCATCCTCATCCCAACCCCCACTCCCCATCCACATGGATCCGCATCCTCATCCCCCTTCCCGACGTGCCTCCACCGTGGAGGCACGTCGGGAATCTCTGAGAGCCGGCGGGCCTGAATGATGCGGCGATCCGCTCCGCAGCGCCCTCTCGGGACGCTGCGGGAGGGCCCCGAGACGCCCCGGGGCGACTTGCGCTCAGCCCGGGGCCTGCCCGACGCCCCTCCCCCTCGAGAGGCCTCCCGGATGGGATTCCGAGTAGATGCGGTCGGAGGATCGCGCCGCACCGCGGATGCATCGCCGATGCGTCGGCGGTGCATCGGCGACGTCGGCGTGGAAACCATCGGGCTGCACATCGAGCCGCATCGTCGATGCACCGGCGACGCGGCACGATCCTCCGACCCCATCTGGGAGGTCTAGATTCTTGGGTCAAATTAGGTCCACGAGGCCAGACAACAGAGGTACGTCGAAGCGACTTCTCCTGGCCGCATTTAGACAGCGCGACCCCGTGCGTTTCGTTCCACTTGCGCCATCTTCCTGTTCCTGCTATTGCTGTTGGCGTTTGCTGCTGCTGCTCCTCCTCCTCCTCCTCCTCCTCGTCCTCGCCCTCGCCCTCGTCCTCGTCGTCCTCCTCATCGTCGTCCTCCTCGTCCTCCTCCTCCTCCTCCTCCTCCTCCTTCTCCTCCTGAGGCAATTAAGCAATGACGGCACTGGGGCTCGTCGAACGCTGCCGCTTCCCCCAGGGAAGCCTGGTCGGGCCGGGCTGGTCGGGCCGGGCCCCTCTGGGGGAGTAAAACAAACATGACAAAATTATGGACCGGCGTGGCGCCGGACCCCCCTGGCGGCGCCTCTGGTGCTGCCCCTGGCGCCGGAGGCGCCAGTCCAACAATCCGCGCGGACTTCCCAACGGCACTGCTGCAGCCTGTTCTCGCCAACGCTCGGACGTTCGTTCGCTGTGCATTTTTAGGCTTCGTGCGTGTATTGTTTTTGCAGGGTGAACAAAAATGCTCCGCGATGGTCCTCGCCGACAAAATGCACGCGTCCGAGCGATGCCAAGTGTTTTTGTTCAATGGACCTCCTGATGGGTGCACCGTCTGAGGTCGCCTCACTGTGGACGGTGTCCCACGGTGAGGCACACGGTGGAGGCACACCACCGATATTGGTGTTGGTGCCAACCCCAATCTGCCTCCGATGGTGACCCCCCCGACCGTTGCCCCTGAGCGAGGCCACGCTCCTCAGCAGGGCCGCCCGCAGATCAGGGCACGTTCGGCCCGTCCGTGCTCACACCGCGTGCGAGAACCTTCGGGCGGGGCAAGAGGGGCAGCAACACCTCCTTGGATACTGGCTGTCCTCCTCCTTTCGGCGCGCGTTGTTGTTCAGCCCAAACCACAAAAAAAAAAAAATGGAACTCACCGGGGAATGCCCGATAATTCTCCGTGTGACCCGTTCAAGACCCTGAGAAACCCAACTTTGGGGCTATCTGGCTGGAATTGGCCAGAGGGAACCAGAAGCACGATTGCCTGGATGAAGCGGGATTGGGCCGGATTAGGCATTGGACCATGAGTCTACACGCGCCACTGCTGACTTTTACCTCCCATGAACTGCAACATACAATAAGGACGCAAAAACCTCGGACATCCACACTCTTCCCGCGCAACCGCCCAACCCGATACAATTTAGGAGGGGGCGTTCGCGGGCAGGGATGCAGGGCTAGCCTCGATAAAGCATTGCATCTTCACTGCGTACTTTGACTGCACCCTTCCCGCCCAACCGCCCAAACGGATACAATTGAGGGGGGGAGTTCGCGGGCAAGGATAACAGGGATAGCCTCGATAAAGCACTGCATCCTCACTGCGTACTTTGACTGCACCCTTCCCGCCCAACCGCCCAACCGGATACAATGAAGGGGGGGAGCTCGCGGGCAGGGATACAGGGATGGCCTCGATAACGCACTGCATCTTCACTGCGTACTTTGACTGCACCCTTCCCGCCCAACCGCCCAACCGGATACAATTTAGGAGGGGGCGTTCGCGGGCAGGGATGCAGGGCTGGCCTCGACAAAGCATTGCATCTTCACTGCGTACTTTGGCTGCACCCTTCCCGCCCAAGCGCCCCTCCCGACACAAATTAAAAGGGGGGGGGTTCGCGGTCGCGGCTACACTTGGCCGCCTCGGCCCGGCACGCCCCGGCAGGAATACCCCTGGGTGGCCGCGGCGACAGGGAGGTCCGAGCTCGGGGGCAGGGCGAACCAAAGCGCCCGATGGCACATGAAGAACTCGATGCACTTCGTCACCGATGCTGGTACTCCACAGACTTCTCCTGGGGTGCGTTCTGACAAAAATCCTACCAGCCCTCTGGGCGTATGTGGTATAGGGAGCTTCCTCTTCCAACCCCCCTCTTCACCTTCGGGGAGGGGTTTACCCCTCCCCCTAACCCACTCTTTGCTCCTGCGCTTCCCTGATCGTCTCAACTCGCCTGGGCGTCGGCTTTGAATTGGCTGGTAGGGATACGCGATGCGACAAGATTTCGAGGATAATGCAGCCGTTGCGACGAGGGCTCTCAAGGTCGTTTGACGTATCGAGCGATCGGACAACCAGCGCTGGCATGCCACGCTCTTCTTCCACTCAGCTGCGGCCCGCCAGCCCGCGTCGCGCACGCCCAGAACTCATGAGGGTTTAACGAGCGCGGGCGCGTACGGCGAGTGCACGCGCCTGCCCGAGCGTACGCACGCGTGCATGTGTGCATGCAAATGCGCATGTATGCGTAGAGCCAGAGGGTGCGAAGAGGATGAAAGGAGGGGGGGACTCAAGGGACGGTAGGGGAAACCGCCTCCTCAATCCTCTTCCCTTGACAAATAACTCCTCGCCTGCAATAATCACCATGCGTGTCAGTACGGCACGCCAGGCCGGGCGTTTCGCCTGAGACTTCCTTCGCGCTTACTCCCTCCAAGCTCCCAAGTTCCCAGCAGCTACAAGTGATTTTGAGGGGAGGGGAGCCCTGTTGATTTAGAGAAGCTTCGGAAGAACCCAGCGCGAACCACAACACGAATGATCAGATTGGGACGCGCTGGCGCTCCAGCCGTCGTTCCAGACGGCCAGGTGTTGGCAACGGGGGGGAAGTCAGCGCTCCGATCGGCAAACGAGGGAGGCAGAGGAGGAGGAGGAGGAGGAGGAGGAGGAGGAGGAGGAGGAGGAGGAGGAGGAGGAGGAGGAGAGTGAGGAGGAGGAGGAGGAGGAGGAGGGAGAGGAGGAGAGGAGGAGAGGAGGAGGAGGAGGAGGAGGAGGAGAGGAGGAGGAGGAGGAGGCAGGAGAGGAGGATGAGGAGGAGGAGGAGGAGGAGAGAGTGAGGAGGAGGGAGTAGGAGGAGGAGGAGGAGGAGGAGGAGAGGACCGCAGAGTAAACCCAGGATGCGCCAGGGATGCTGCAAGACAGTAGTCTCAAGCCCCCTATGTACGCATAGGTCCTTCCACGTCTGCCTTTCCACCGCGGGAAGCGACACCCTTGGATCGCTTGTGCCCAGCGGGCCTTCGACTCGGGCGACACCCAGCTTCCAGCAGGGGTCCACCTTCCACCCCTGGATAGCTGAAGGAATCGCAGGGATGCGGAGTTACTCACGAGGCGATGGCATGGATGAGGACGAGGAGGAGGAGGAGGAGGAGGAGGAGGAGGAGGAGGAGCAGCAGCAGCAAAAAGAGGAGGAGCAGAAAGAGGAGGAGCAGAAAGAGCAGGAGGAGGAGGAAGAGGGGCGCAAAACACTACACTGCAGCTGCTTCGGGCGAGGCCTAACTGGCCCATAACAAACCATCCCCTTCCGTGGCGTCGTCCTCCCCTTCGAGGTCCCCATTGGCCGCACCCATACGTCTCGGGGCGAGGCGAGGGGGACGCCACGGAGGGGGATGGCTTGCTAGGGGTCGGCTAGGCCGCTCTTGACTGCTGCTAAGGTCGGACCTAGGCCAGAAGATCATCCCTCAAGAAGACGAGATCCTCCGTCGGCCAACACAAGTAGGCCATCCCAAGGTACCCTCCCCAGGATGCATTAGAGCATCCCACAAACACGAAAAACATGAGGGCACTCTCCCCGAATCGACCTCGACCTTACACCTCGGTCCGACCGTGGGCCGCCCCTGACTGTTGCTGAGGAGGCGGAGTCGGGAGGAGGAGGAGGCGGAGGAGGAGGAGGAGGCGGAGGAGGAGGCGGAGGAGGAGACGGAGGAGGCAGAGGAGGAGGCAGGCCGCCCCTGACCGCTGCGGGGCCGAGGGGCGCCAAAGCGCGCTCAGCGACTGGCCCCCGGGCGCGCCCCGCCCCCGCCCGCGGCGCCGAGGGGCCGGGCCCCGCCCGCCCCCCCCCCCGCGCGGGGGAGGCGGGGCACTGACTGCACCGGAGGCTCGCGCCGCCTCGGCCGGCCCTAGGGCGCCGCCGCGTACGGCGGGGCCCCTGGCGGGAGCGCCGAGGGGCGAGCCCCCAGGGAGCCCTTTGGGAGGCCCCGGGAGGCACCGGGAAGCACAATCGGGGATGGACAGACCTCCCTTTAGTAAAACGTGGCTTAGTGAAAACGACCTGAGGCCCAAACCTGGCGAGCGCAAGCCTGGAAAATAACGGCCGCGGCGCCCTCTCGAACCGAAAACGGACAATTCACTAATCGACGTGTCACTGTTGGGGGTTTTGTCCACCCCCGACACAAGGAGGCTCCAGGAGGCCGTGGGGGGCCCCGGGAGACCCACGGCAGCTCCGGGCGGCCACAGGGAGCCTGCACTCGTCGCCGAACCTGCACTCGCCCTTGTCGCGGAAGTCGTAGCAGATGCCGCCGCCACCGCCGCCGCCCTTGCCTTTGCCCTTGCCCTTGCCCTTGCCCTGATCGGGTCGGGGAACGAGAGGGTGGGAGGAGGGGGGAGGGGATGGCGGGCGGGAAACGGAGCGTGGAGAAGTCGAAGCAGGGGGAGGATGGGGTATGGAGGATGGGTCATGAAAAGACGGATGGCGACTGCCTGATGGAGGAGGATGGATGAGGGATGGATGGATGGGGGGAGCAGTGATTCGGGAGGATGGCGGATGGAGGAGGATGCAGGGCGCTGGGCGCTGGGCGATGAGGAAGGATGAGTGAGGGTGGACCCAGCATTCAGGCGCTCCAATGTATTCGATGCGTGGACCCATGGAGGTGTGGACAACTTCCCCAGGGCCGGTTCTTCACCCAGGGCTGATTGTTTGCAAGGTCGTGGGGCCCATGGAGGGCCCCCGGAGGCCGAAAACAAGAAGCACCTACAACATCAGTGATAGTAATAGTAAAAAGGAGTAAGAACACTCACAACGATGGAATAATCGTAATGAATATTATAAGTAATCAAAAGATGGAGTAATACTAAAATGGAGTGATAGCATTAATAAGTCAGAACACCTCATTGATAGTAACAATAAGATGGAGCAGTAATAATACAACACAATGCAACCACGCTCCGATTTTTTGGGAGCCCCGGATCTCTGGGGATGGGGTTGGATGGGGGGAGGGATGGAGGACGGCGGGCGGCCTCCCAAGTGCAGCAGAAGCTCGACCACAATAAACCTTCCACGAGAAACCCAACCATCAGGTCGGGCATGTCACCCTGCAGGCGGACTTTGGGCGAAAATTAAAAAATAGGCAAGAATAACACGAACACCCAAACAATCAAACAATCGGCCCCAAACTGTTCTGACTACCTTCGAATCTCCCTCCTGCAGAGCGGCACGCCCGGCTTAACCCAACCATGAGACCCCAGGACTTCCATGGATTCTTGCCGTGGGAACGCCACGCTTTCCAGCGCAAATCCATCGAAGCCCAATAATCCCAGGGCACCCTGGAGGCAAGCCAGGTGTTTCTTGGCATGGTCTCCACTGTGATTCTGAGAATCCGCGGAGCTCCTGCGCTTTCTCAGGACGAATGCGCGCAGCGCAGGGGCGACAACCACACTTTGAGAAGGAACCGCCCTCAATCCGCGAAACCCTTCTTGTAGTAGATCATTTCTCGAGCGATGTGGCTGGTTGGCGGCGCGCAAGAGGGGGTATGGGGGAGGGGGGAAGGCTTCTTAGAAGCACCCTGCTTCTTAGAAGGCCTGGGCCTTACGTCTATAGAGAAGGCCCGCGCCTTCTCTGAGAAGCAAGGGGTGATTCTAAGAAGCCTTCCCCCCTCCCCCCCACCCCCCTTTTGCGCGCCGCCAGAGTCTATCCTCTCTCGAGCGACGTGGCTGGGGCGACGCCCAGAGGGGGGAGCGGCGCGCACTCGAAGCAGGACGGCAGGGGCTCCTCCGTCCCCCCCCCCCCCCGCACCCTCCGTCGGCGGCTCGCCCGGGGGGGGAAGCCCGAGGGGGCGGAGGCTTCTACGGCACAGGAGCTCTCTCTGAGCCTCCTCCGAGGACAGGGGGCGCCACCTCAGAGGGCCGAGTGGCCTCTGAGAAGCCCCGCCGCCCATCGGGGGCGGCCACGAGGGGGGCGTCCAGGAGAAGGGGGGGGTGCGAATCATGGCCGGCGGCACGTGCGCGGCCTGAGGCGGGGCCCAGGGACGTGACGAAATAAGAAGAGGCGCCATGAAATCTGGGGAAACACCGTGGCACGCGCCATGGTATCCCCCCCCCCTGGTCATCACCCTCCCTCTCTGCCGCCTCCTCCTCCTCCTCCTCCTCCTCCTCCTCCTCCTCCTCCTCCTCCCTCCTCCTCCCTCCTCCTCCCCCTCCTCCTCCTCCTCCTCCTCCTTCCTCCTCCTCTCCTCCTCCCTCCTCCTCCTCCTCCTCCCCCCCTCGCCTCCTCCTCCTCCTCCTCCTCCTCCTCACGCCTCTCCTCCTCCTCCTCCTCCTCCTCCTCCTCCTCCTCCCTCCTCCTCGTGGCCGCGGCGCCCACGCCGCGGAGACCAGGTGTCGACCCTCCTGCCGCCCCTGAGCCTGCCGAGAGGGCCTGCCCCCCTCTTGCTCCCCCCCCTCGGTGCGCAGCCCCGGCTGGGCCGGTCGCCTCTCGGGCCGGTCGGCGGTGGACAAACCTCCCTTTAGCAAACCTCCCCTCAATGAAAACGGCCTGGGACCGAAACCGACGGACCTGGACCCGCAAAAATAACGGCCGCGACGCCCTCTCGCGAACCGAAAACGGCCAATTCCTTAATCAGCGTGTCAGGGTAGGAGGTCTGTCCACCCCCGAGCCGAAGGGGCAGAGGCGGCCGGGGCATGAGGCCAGGAGGGGCGCCGCCTGCGGCGCCCGTGCCCAGCGGGGCGCGAGGGCCGGGGCTCACAGATCGCAAGTTCGAGGCTCCAGCGCTCTGGGGGGGGGAACTTCGAGGCTCGAGGATCGGGCGATCGAGGGTCGAGGTGCAAGAAGGGCTCAGGTTCGAGGCTCGAGGTCGAGGGCTCAGGAATTTCGAGGCTCGAAGACTGGCAGATCGAAGATCGAGATCCAGAGAGCGCAAGTTCGAGGCTCGAGGGCTGGGACTCAGGAACAGTGAGGACTGAGGACCGGAAGGTCGCGGATCGAGGTTCAAAGATCGCAAATTCGAGGCTCGCAGGCTCGGGCGAAGAAACTTCGAGGGCCGAAGATCGGATGATCGAGGATAGAGGGGTTCAACGATCGTCAGTTCGAGGCTCGAGGGCTGCGGTACGGGAGCTGCGGAACTCGAGGATCGGAAGATCGAGGATCGAGGTTCCACGGTCGCGACGCGAACTCGAGGCTCGAGGCCTCGGGCGCGGGAACGTCGAGGCTCGAGGGTCGGGAGATCGAGGCTCAAAGAGATCAAGCTCGGAACTCCAGGAGTTCGGGCTCGGGGGCCTCGAGGATCGAGGAACGGGCGATCGTGGATCGAGGCTCGCGGATCGGGGGCTTCGACGATCGCAGGATCGGGGCTCGCGGGCCCGGGCGCGCAAACTTCGAGGCTCGAGGATCGGCAGCTCGAGGACCGAGGCTCGGAGATCGCAAGCTCGAGGCTCGAGGGACGAGGCAGAGGAGCCTCGAGGGCCGAGGATCGGCAGATCGAGGATCGAGGCCGCAACTTCGAGGCCTGCAGGCTCGGGCAGGGGGGCTTCGAGAGCCGAGGATCGGAGGATCGAGGATCGGAGTGCGAAGATCGCCAGTCCGAGGCTCGGAGGCTCGGGCAGAGGCAATTCGTGGACCGAGGCTCCGCAGATCGAGGATCGAGGCTCAAAGATCGCGAACTCGAGGCTCGAGGGCTCGGGCGCGGGAACTTCGAGGCTCGAGGATCGGAAGATCGAGGATCGAGGCTCAACGACCGCAAGCTCGAGGCTCGAGGGCTCGGGCGTAGGCACTTCGAGGACCGAGGATCGGAGGATCGAGGTTCAAAGATCGCACGTTCGTGGCTGGAGGGCTCGATGGGGGCAACTTCGAGACTCGGGGATCGGAAGATCGAGGTTCGAAGATCGCAAGCTCGAGGGCTGGGGGAGGGGGCCCTCGAGGCTCCAGGATCGAAAGAACGAGGATCGAGATTCCAAGATCGCAAGTTCACCTCGGTGAGCTGCCCGCCACCCCTCCTGGGCCTCCCGGGCCTCTCTGCACTGGTCCCCCGGAGACCACCAGGGATCACAGGCTGGCCATTCCCTGTGTTTTTGATTGGTTTCGTGCGCGGTTTTTTCGTAAAATGATCAAGGATGGTCCTCGATGGTCCTCGCCGAAGGAAAAAATTGCACACGTCCGAGCGATGCCAGGCAGGAGACCTCTGTGGAGTCGGGTCAGACGAAGGGGGGTTGGTAACGAAACGCGGGCTGGCGAATCGGCTCACGAAGCTAGGTTCCTGGACCCCCGAAGTTACGATTTGTTCCACGACGTCGATGCCCAGAAGTCTGGAACCATTCCTGGGGCTGGCTTCCCATCCTCCATCACTTCTTGACGCTCCCGAGGCCCGGGAAGGGCCCCAGGAGGCTGACAATAGCGAACCCCCCCCCGTCGTGAGTTTCGTCGTGGCCCGAGGGGCTCTGGGTCCCCCTGGCACCTCCCGGCGCCAAGGCGCGCATGCACCGAGGACAGCGCCCAGCGGCGTGCCCGAAGCCAGTTGCCTGCAGCGGACTCCGTGCCCCCCCCCTGCCATCGCTCGGACGCCCATTCCCTGTGTGTTTTTTTTCCCCGGTTTCGTGCGTGGTTGTTTCGCCAAATGGTCAAGGGATGCTCCTCGATGGTCCTCGCCGAAGGGAAAATGCACACGTCCGAGCGATGCCAAGCCCCCCCACTTCCCGCACCCCGCTCAGGCCGCTCGACCTGGCAAACGAGCACACAGTCGGGGCGTTGACCCAAGGAACCCCAAATGAGGAACGAGGCCCCTGTTTTCCATAAGTCAACCTTCGATTTCCTGTCGAAAACATAAGGAAAGCCCGAGGCAAGCTGTGAAACACTTAAGGAACGCGGAGCCCCTCCCCAACGAGAAGGGTTCCTTCTTCAGGGCCCCGACTGTATCCCTATCCCTAAGATTGACACGCCAAAAGGCGATGACAGTCTTAGGGATCTGCCCTAAAAAAAAATAAGGGAATCCCTCAGATTGGCATCGTGATGAGGAGGTGCCCAGCATAGGGATAGGGATATGTTCCAGGCTGGAAAGCTTGTCTGCGTTGGGACCTTCTCAGCCAGATGTTCTCTGACAGACGCGGTGGACAGAGCGGTGCCTCTCGTGCTCGTCCAGTCAGGATCTTCCGGTCACGATCACTTGTACTCCCTTCGACGCGACCAGAGCACGACAGGCCCAAGCGGTGTTGAGTCAATTGAATTGCACCAGTCTGCTGAAGATTCCAGGCGCACCGCTCCTAAACCGCACGCGAACGCGGAACCATGCAACGACGGTACCGAGACGAGTTGGCAGTACACGGAGCCGCCGCGCAGAGCAGTATCAACACGGACTCGTATGCCCCTTGGGTTTATGACCGACCTCCTCCCTCCTCCTCCTCCTTCCCCTCCCCCTCCCCCTCCCCCTCCCCCTGCCCCTCCCCCTCCTCCCCCGCCTCCTCCTCCTCCTCCCCCTCCACCTCCCCCTCCTCCTCCTCCTCCTCCTCCTCCTCCTCCTCCTCCTCCTGCACCCCCCCGTCTTCCACTCTCCGCGGCCGCCCAGGGAAGGCCCCCCCTGGTCCCGGGGAGCCGCTCGAGCCTTCCGGGGGCCCCACGCCGTGAACCAAAACAGGCGCGACGGCGGCGGGCCGGGGCCGACCCGTGTTCGAGGCTAGCCGTCGTTCGTCCTGTTGGGGGGGGGGCCTCCTGTCAGCGGCGCGGGGGGGGGGAGAAGGGGCGGGCCTTCCCAGAAGGCGCGGCCCTTCCCAGAGATCCACGAGTCGACACCGAAGATGTAATCTCCTCCCATGGTCTTTCGGGGGGGGGGTACTTTCTAGATTTTGGGGGCCTATTTGGAGGGAAGGCCCGCGCTGCAGCAGGAACACGACTCGGAACGAGCTGAAGCGCGGAAATGAGGCCAACGCTGCAGCGGGAGCACCATTCGGAACAAGCGGAAGCCTTAAAATGAGGCCAACGCTTCAGCGGGAACAACATTTTGAACAAAAGCAGAACCCCAGCGAAAACCCAACTCCCGGGAAGCCCGTGCGTTAAACACAGTCCGCGGAAAAGGGCCGGACATCTTGCGGACGTCATCAGGGGAGAGAGGAGAGTAACATTCGTGTGTAACTGTGGAGAGGATGGGAGAAGAAGGACGGAGGGAACGACATGAGGGAGGAGGAAGGGGAGAAGGGAGGAGGAGGGAAAGGAGGAGCAGAGGAAGGGATGAGGAATGGTGGGCAAGACGGAGGAGGGCGGATGAGCAGGAGAGGGGTGAGGAGAAGGACGCGGAGGATGGGGAGAGTGGAAGAGGAGAAGGGAGAGCAGCATCGCGAAGAGGGCGAAGAGGGGGAGAAAGAAGATCAGCAGGGTTGGATAGCGCTGAGGGGAATGGGGCGGCGGGTGCTAAAGCCTTTCGGTCACCTTCTGGGCACTCGCGCGCGAAGTGGTCTCCACCGCAGATGAAGCACCCGCTCCCGCCGGGACCTGGGGGCTGGGAGGAGTGGCGCACCACGGGAGAGGCGGAAAGGCAAGCCCAAACGCGGGGAGCAGCGTGGGATGGTGGATAGGGGCGACAACTCTCGAGCAGCGCGATCGACAGTTGATGCAAGCGGCGCGGGGGCGGGAGGGCATCCACCGAGGACAAGAACGGAAACTTGTCTACGGGGCTCCTCTGTCTCGACCTCCGCCCATTCCGCCCAGCAGCAAAGCGGGGAGGAGGAGGAGGAGGAGGAGGAGGAGGAGGAGGACAATAGAGGAGAGGAGGGTTGTGATGAGGAGGCAGGGAAGACAGTCAAGTAAAGGAGCAAGGCGAACGACACATTCATGTCCACGAGCCCGTTGCATAAATCCCACCAGCCCTTCTGGCTAAGGTGGTCTACGAAGTTGTTTCTTTCCTCTGTCAGAAACCTCTTCCTTGCAGGGAGGTTTACCTCACCCCCTCCATGGTGTTTTTTTGGAGGCGGCCACGGGGCGTTGAGGCGTCCAAGGTGGCCTCGGCGAAAAGGCCGAAATCATTAATTTTACGATGGTTCAGGAGGGGACCGAACTCCAGGACCCCCTCCCCGTTATGATCGATGACCTCCAAGATGGCCCCAAGAGGCCCCCCAGGGCTCCCAAGGGACACCCCAAAAGGTTCCAAGAGGGCTCCCGAGGAACCCAAGACCCCAACAAAACGCCCCAAGAGGATCCCAAGATCAGCAAAAAGAGCCCCAAGATTGCTCCAACAGGGCCACTGATGTTCCGAAATAGCCTCCAAGATAACCGACGATGGTTCAAGATAGCTTGAGGCATGCCTCCAAAAGGCCCGACGAGGGCCACAAGACAGTTCCAAGTGCTCCCGGAGCCCCCTCAGGGCCTCCCAGGAGACCACAATCCTTCCAGAACCACAGGAAACTCCATGATTTGTGACTTCTCGCCTTTTCGCTTCCGATGCGCTTTTGAGGCCTCATGATGGCCCCAAGAGGGTCCAAGACAGTCCCAAGATCCAAGAGGGGCCCAAGAGGCCCACCAGACGACCCCAAGAGCGACCAAGAGCAGCCCAAAAGCGCCCCAAGAGAGTCCCAAGAGGCGATTTTGTGGTGACTTCTCACCTTTTCGCTTCCGATGCGCTTTTGAAGCCTCATGATGGCCCCAAGAGGGCCCAAGACAGTCCCAAGATCCAAGAGGGGCCAAGAGGCCCACCAGACGACCCCATGAGCGACCAAGACAGCCCAAAAGCGTCTCAAAAGAGTCCCAAGAGGCGATTTTGATGGCCCGAGTGGGGGGTACCAAACATTACGACCCCTCTCTTATCACCGATGCCCTCCACGATAGCCTCAAGAGGCCCTCCAAGGCTCCCAACAGGCCCCCAAGAGAGCCCCAAGAGGGCCCCAAGAGGGCCCAAGAGAGCCCGAAGAGGACCCAAATATCCCCCCAAAGAGCCCCAAGATGACTCCAAGAGGCGATTATGAGGGCTCTGTCCTCGTCCTGGTTGTCCTCCTCCTCCTCCTCCTCCTCCTCCTCCTCGTCCTCCTCCTCCTCCTCCTCGGATACACTTTTGATCGCAAGCGCACCGGGAGGCGCCGGAGCCTCCTCAGAGACGCGAAGCATGAAGAATCCTCCGCGACGACGCCCTCGACTGGCCCCGCCCCCCGCCCTTCCCCCCCTTCCCCGCCACGGCTCGCGCCAGCGCCGTCTGGAAATGAGCCACTCCGAAGCACTCCCGGACGGCGCCGGCGCGAATCGCGACGCGACCGGCCTCTCACCCTCCAGTCGGGTCGATGCCGGGACCGGCGCCCCCCGGCGCCGGAGGCGGCTCTGTATCGAGGAATGGGCCCCTCGGTGCGGCCGAAACCAGCTGCATGCAGCACATTTCGTACCCCCCCCGTTCCCAAACCCCCCCCTTAAGTCCGGCCCGATCCAGCCCCCCCCCCGGCCACGCCCGCTGGCGCCTGTTTTTTTTTTAACTCTTGCAAGTTTACTTGCATGGACGGGGGGGGGGGCTGAGCCTGAAGCAAGCCCGGGGGGGGGCGGGGCGGAAATCACGCAAGTCGAAAGACACTTGCACGCTAGTATTCGCTTGAAGAGGGGCGAGGGGGGGGGGGGGGCGAACGCCCTGCAAGTAAACTTGCCCGAAGCCAAAACAAAAACAGGCTCCTGTCGCCGCGCGGCGCGCGAAGCACAAAGACAGCTCTCCGCTGCATGGGGCAGCGGGGCACCCCGGCCGGCCAGGGCGGCGCGACCTCCCCCCGCGGGCTTCTCCGGGCAGTCCCGCGCGAGGTGGTCCCCCCCGCAGGTGAAGCACCCCTCGGCGGCGGGGCGGCTCGGGCGCGGGCGCTCGCCGAAGCGCTGGCCCCGCGGGCGGGAGGCAGCGGCACCGCCCTCGTAAGAGGCGCCCCGGCACGAGAGGCCCTTCGCGAAGGACGACCTGCAAGGAGAGGGAGTCCAGCGGGCTGGGGCTGTGCAGCTCAGGGCCCGGGAGCATGCGCGGGGAGCGCCAGGCCCAGGCCCCGCCCCCCGGAGGTCTGGGCCCGTGCCCCAGGGCCAACTTCTCGTCCCGCGCAGTTTTGGACGGTCCCAGGGCCCGGTAGTAGGGGAACAAGAAGTGGCAGAAACATAACAACTCGGAGGTCCGCGCGGATTTCTCGGATCGGCGCTGGACCCCCCTCCCTGGCGCGCGGAGCGCGCCAGGGGCGGCGCCGAAGGCGCCGCTGGGGGGCCCCAGCGCCGATCCGAGAAATCCGCGCGGACCTCCGAGTTGTTATGTTTATGTCACTTTTTGTTCCCCTAAGTAAGGACCCCCAAAAGCCGGAACTAGCGACAAACATCCCGTCGTGATTTTCTCCCGACGCGAAGGGGTTTGCATGGGGGGGCCCCGAACCTGGCCGTCCACTGGAATCGGCGGGCGCCTCTGAACAAAAGTTGGGAATCTACTGGCCCAGGTCAATCCAAACCCAGGTCAATCGGGCTTCGCAAGCTCCTGTTAAGTCTGGCAAGATCCTGCCGGATCCTGCGCGCAAGCCCGGGTCAATGCAGCCCTGGCTCTGTAGAATCCTACAAGATCGGCGCTCTCGCTGACCACCGTTTACATGGACCCCCGTTCCTTCAGCACCGATGCGCTCTGGGGGCCCCGGAACCCTGCCGTCCGCTGGAATCGGCGGGCAAATCTCACCAAAAATCGGGAATCTACTGACCCGGGTCAAATCAAACCCAAGTCCGATCCCCGCCCCTTAAGCCACGATGTGCTCTGGGGGCCCTGGAACCTGGGCGCCCGCTGGAATCGGCGGGCGCGCCTCGCCAAAAACCATAAGACCAAAGCCCGGGAGCCCATGGGCACCCATCTTGGCCCGGCCGTTTGCCGGCAACTTGTCGCCAAATCCTTGCGCAGCCGCTGCGAGAACCACCTCGGTGCAACCATTGACTCAGGGGCAGAGCGCGCATACATACATTACATTACATTACATTGCATTACATTACATTACATTACATTACATTGCATTACATTACATTACATTACATTGCATTACATTACATTACAATACATTACATTACACTGCACTACACTACAAGACAACGAGAGAGACTCCGTTTTTCATTTTCGCATTCCCAGGGGGTGGGACCCGCATGTGGGACCAATCCCAGACGATCGGGACAAATTATGACGAACCGGGACACTTCTCAACCAGCCAACAAACCCAACGTGTACTAACTACAACCAGCCATCTCGGGAATCCAATGGGATACTTTTGTGTATAGCACGTTACGGCGATCCAGACATCAAATGCACGTCTTAAACGTGCACTATCGTTTTGGGAGTCAACATGGGCGCCCTGAGGCTAGTTTTTGTGATCTGGGAGCTGTGTTGCGTTGCGGCAGCAACTCACGACAACACACATCATCTCGAAACAACAACATACACCCAACGCAACAACATAGAATCACAACATGCCCGCGCATTTCTCCCAACATCTCATTTCGAAGACCAACGTTAGCATCCTCGTTGTCAACGGCCGTCATGTCCCTCCTCTTTTCCTGCTTCTTCCCTCATCCTCCTCCTAAATCAAATCTCCCTCCTACCGCATTCCTCCTACTCCTCCCTCCTCCCTTTTCTCTTTGTTCCTCCTTGTCCTCCTCCTCCCCCCTCCTCCTCGTTTTCCTCCTTTCCCTTTTTTTCAACTTACCCGCCTCCACCTCCTCCTCTTCCTCTCCCTCCCCCTCCTTCTCCACTTCCTCCTCCTTCTCCCCCGCCTCCTCCTCCTCCTCCTCCTCCTCCTCCTCCTCCTCCTCCTCCTCCTCCTCCTCCTCCTCCTCCCCCTCCGAGCGGCGAAGGCGTCTGTCCGCGCGCGCCCGAGCAATTGATCTGGGGCGAGCGCAAGCCTCCAACCCCAAAACCAGCGCGCCGCTCATCTGCGACTGGCCCTGGAGCTCCGGGGATCTCCTGACCCGGGTCAGTCCAGACCCGGGCCAGCAAATTATCCCGGCAAAGCAACCTAACAGCGATGTGTAGGAGCATATCTGGAAGCATTCCCCTTAAGATTCAGATAAGAATCCTGTTGTAGAATTCTGCTGTTCTCGCAGTCGTGGTCGCATTCGCGATGGCAGTCGCAGTGGCAACAGCAGTCGCAGTCACAGCCTCAGCCTCAGCCTGCCTCAGCCTCAGCCTCAGCCTGCCTCAGCCTCAGCCTGCCTCAGCCTCAGCCCTCAGCCTGCTTCAGCCTCAACATCAGTCTGCCTTCAGCCTCGGCCTCAGCCTCAGCCTGCCTCAGCCTCAGCCTGCCTCAGCCTCAGCCTCAGCCTGCCCCTCAGCCTCGGCCTGCTTCAGCCTCAACATCAGTCTGCCTTCAGCCTCGGCCTCAGCCTGCCTCAGCCTCAGCCTCAGCCTCAGCCTCAGCCTCAGCCTCAGCCTGCCTCAGCCTCGCCTCCCTCAGCCTGCTTCAGCCTCACCTCAGTCTGCCTTCAGCCTCGGCCTCAGCCTGCCTCAGCCTCAGCCTGCATCAGCCTCAGCCTCAGCCTCAGCCTGCCTCAGCATCAGCCTGCCTCAGCCTCAGCCTCAGCCTGCCTCTGCCTCAGCCTCAGCCTGCTTCAGCCTCAGCCTCAGTCTGCCGTCGGCCTCGGCCTCAGCCTCAGCCTGCCTCACCCTCAGCCTGCATCAGCCTCAGCCTCAGCCACAGCCTACAGTTGGCTCCGGGCATTCAAAATGTGCCCAGGAATGGAGTTCTGGGAACTCGAAGACCACGAAGTGGCCTACAGTTGGCTCCGGGCATTCAAAATGTGGCCCGGGAATGGAGTTCTGGGAACTCGAAGAGCACGAAG